CCTTCCAGGTTCAAGTGATTCTCCTGCCTCAGCCTCCCGAGTAGCTGGGATAACAGGCTCCCGCCATCATGCCCAGCTAATTTTTGTAATTTTAGTAGAGATGGGGTCTCATCACGTTGGCCAGGCTGGTCTCAAACTCCTGACCTCAAGTGATCCGCCTGCCTCGTCCTCCCAAAGTGCTGGGATTTCAGGCGTGAGCCACCACACTGGCTATCATTTTTCCAATATACCTTATTTCACCAATTCCAAGATGCACATATTCTCCCCCTCATTTTAATATTTCAGAAGCAGGACACATGTTACCATTGCTATGTCTTTGTTTGTTTTGTTTGTTTTTGAGGTGGAGTCTCTCTGTCGCCCATGCTGGAGTGCAGTGGCACGATCTTGGCTCACTGCAAGCTCCGCTTCCCGGGTCCACGCCATTCTCCTGCCTCAGCCTCCCGGATGTCTGGGACTACAGGCGCCCGCCACCACACCTGGCTAATTTTTTGTATTTTTAGTAGCGATGGGGTTTCACCGTGTTAGCCAGGATGGTCTCGAACTCCTGGCCTCGTGATCCACCTGCGTCGGCCTCCCAAAGTGCTGGGATTACAGGTGTGAGCCACTGCGCTGGGCCTCCTATGTCTTAAAATCATATTTAGCAGATGAGAGTTGTGAGGTATTTGTCATTGCTAACCCTGCACCAGTTTCAAAACATGCAGAATAGGTGTTAGCAGCTTGGAAGAAAAACCCAGAGATGATGCTGGTGTATTCTTTTTCCCAAGACAAAGTCTTGCTCTGTTGCCCAGGCTGAAGTGCAGCAGTGCGATCTCAGCTCACTGCAACCTCTGCCTCCCGGATTCAAGCAATTCTTCTGCCTCAGCCTCCTGAGTAGCCAGGATTACAGGCGCGCACCACCACGCCTGGTTAATTTTTGTATTTTTAGTAGAGAGGGGTTTTCGCCATGTTGGCCAGGCTGGTCTCGAACTCCTGGCCTTGTGACCGCCTGCCTTGGCCTCCCAGAGTGCTGGGAATACAGGTGTGAGCCACTGCATGCGGCCTATAAAAATATTTTTTAAAAATTAGCTGGACGAGACAGAAAGTAGCATGGTGGTTGCAGGCACTAGGGGGCGGGGAGAATGGGAGCTAATGTTTAACGGAGACACAGCTTCAGTTTGAAAACATGAAAACAATTCTGGAGATGGATGGTGGTGATTGTTGCAAAATAACCTAAATGTAGTTAATACCACTGAAATGTATACTTAAAATGGTAAATTTTATGTTATATATATTTTACCACAATAAAAAAAAATGCGGGCTGAGTGCAGTGGCTCATACCTGTAATTCCAGCACTTTGGGAGGCCAAGGCAGGAGGATCACTTGAGCTCAGGAGCTTGAGACCAGCCAGAGCAACATAGAAAAACCTCATCTCTACAAAAAACAAAAATAAAAATAAACGGCTGGGCACGGCGACTCACACCTGTAATCCCAGCACTTTGGGAGGCCGAGGCAGGTGGATCAGGGCTAACACAGTGAAAACCCGTCTCTACTAAAAATACAAAAATTAGCTGAGCATGGTGGCACACGCCTGTAGTCCCAGCTACCAGGGAGGCTGGGGGAGAACCCAGAAGGTAGAGGTTGCAGTGAGCCGAGATCGTGCCCCTGCACTCCAGCCTGGGTGACAGAGTGAGACTCTGTATCAAAAATAATAATAATAATAATAATAATAATAAAGGCCAGGCACAGTGGCTCACGCCCATAATCCCAGCACTTTGGGACGCCAAGGTGGGCAGATCACCTGAGGTCAGGAGTTTGAGACCAGCCTGGCCAACATGGCAAAATCCTGTCTCTACTAAAAATACAAAAATTGTTCTACAAAAATGAGCTTGGCGCCAGGCACGGTGGCTCACACCTGTAATCCCAGCACTTTTGGGGGCCGAGGCAGGAGGATCACAACATGGCCAACATGGTGAAACCCTGTCTCTACTAAAATACAAAGAATTAGCTGGGCGTGATGTGTGAGCCTATAGTCCCAAATACTTGGGAGGCTGAGGCAGGGGAATCACTTGAACCTAGGAGGCGGAGATTGCAGTGAGCTGAGATAGGCGACTCTGCACTCCAGCCTGGCACCAGAGCGAGACTCCATCTCAAAACAAAACAAACAAACAAAAATTACCCGGGCATGGTGGCAGGCGCCTGTAATCCCAGCTACTCGGGAGACTGAGGCAGGAGAATCACTTGAACCCAGAGGCAGAGGTGGCAGTGAGCCGAGATGGTGCCACTGTACTCTAGCCTGGGCAACAGAGCAAGACTCCATCTCGAAATACATGAATAAGATGTCCAAAAATAATAACAAGAAAAAATACATTCACACACACACACATAGTAATGTCTGTGAAAGGCTGGGGGAGTGGTTGGGTGTCTGGGATTTGAGGGTCATACAGGTGGAAAAGAACTGGCTGAGGGTGGAAGAAGGGGCCACTGGGCCCCACCTTAGGCCACCCCCCTCCTTTCTGTCCCCAGCATCCTCACCTGGGTCGACTCCTCCTGGTCATGCCTGCCATGGCCACCTCCATCCCCGACCTGGCCTGGGTGGTGTTCTTCCTCAAGTCTCCATCTGACCACCTACCTCTCCTGCTTTCATGTCCTTCAGCAGTGTCCCATCGTCTCAGCGTCAGCCTGGCCAGCGAAACTATCCCCGCTGACGCCAGCCTGTGTTCCAGCTTCACAGTCCCGCCCTTCCCGAGCTCCAGCTTCTTCCTTCATAACACATTGCAACCATTTGTAACACCTTTCCTGGATGGGCATGGTGGCTCGTGCCTGTAATACCAGCACTTTGGGAGGCCAAGGTGGACAGATCACCTGAGTTCAGGTGTTAGAGACCAGCCTGGCCAACATGGTGAAACCCTGTCTCTACTAAAAATACAAAAAATGAGCCAGGCGTGCCGGTGGGTGCCTGTAGTCCCAGTTACTTGGGAGGCTGAGGCAGGAGAATTGCTTGAATCCAGGAGGCAGAGGTTGCAGTGAGCCAAGATTGTGCCACTGCACTCCAGCCCAGGCAACAGAGTGAGACTCCATCACAAAACAGACAAACAAACAAATGAAAAATTTAGCCAGGCATGGTGGCGTGCACCTGTAATCTCAGTTACTTGGGAGGCTGAGGCAGGAGAGTAGCTTGAACCCGGGAGGCAGAGGTTGCGGTTAGCCAAGATTTCGCCATTGCACTCTAGCCTGGGCAACAGAGTGAGACTCTGTCTCAAAACAAACCAAAACAAAAACAAAAACAAAACTTCCCTGTGGCTAGTAGTGTTATCCCTAATTTTCTCAGTAACCTTGTGAGGTAGCCATCAGTGGCTCCATTTAATTTTTTTTTTTTTTTTGAGATGGAGTCTCACTCTGTTGCCAGGCTGGAGTGCAGTAGTGCAATGTTGGCTTGCCGCAACCTCCGCCTCCCAGGTTCAAGTGATTCTCCTGCCTCAGTCTCCCTAGTAGCTGGGATTATAGGCACGTGCCACCACACCCAGCTAATTTTTGTATTTTTAGTAGAGACGGGGTTTCACCATGTTGGCCAGGACGGTCTCGATCTCCTGACTTCATGATCTGCCCACCTTGGCCTCCCAAAGTGCTGGGGTTACAGATGTGAGCCACCATGCCTGGCCTGCTCCATTTTAGAGATGGGGAAACTGGGTCTCAGGCTAAGTGCAACTTGGAGGTCCACACTCTTTTGCTGTGTGGTGGCGGCTCTGTCTTCACTCTGGTTCCTCAGTGCCTGTGCTTACACATGAGTTTTCTAGCTGGTAGCTCTGGTTTGGCTCAGAATCACATCTGATCACATTAATGAGTCCTGATACCCCCTGCCCTCCCTGCTAGGCATTCCTGATCATGTTGTTTTCTTCGAAGTTTTTACCACTGCTGGAAATCATCTCTTATTTGTTTACCAATTTAATATCCCCCTTCCAACTAGAATTTAAACTCCCAGAGAGCAGGGATGACATCTGCCTTGTATCCCCAGCACCCGGAGCCATGCCTTGTGTACTGGAAATGCTCAGTAAACAGCTGTGGATGGGATGAATCTTGAAGCAGCACCGTGAGACCCTCCCAGCTCCAAGCATCCCTCCTGCATGCTCCCTCGATGCTCTGAAGCTGGAGAAGCTGTTGGTCCCTTGCACACTTTGTGGTTATTCTTTTATTCTTGGGTGTCCCCCACCAGACCCCAGCTGACTGGGCAGGGATTGGCCCCAGGCTTGGCACAGTGCTGAGCCTATCCGAGTGCTCAGCCACCTCTTCCCAAACATCTGAATCAATGTTGGAATATCCACAGCAACACTTGGTTTGCTCCTGTTGCATTCTCACAACAGGCTCAGCGTCAGGTACAACCTTCCTGAGGGCAAGGCCTGTCCTCCACAAAGCCCTCTGGGGCTGGGGTCTCCAGAGGCGAGCCCTCAGCTCTGGGAGACTGTCTACCTCCATGAGGAAACCTGGGGCAAGGGGACAGGGAGCTCAGCCACCAGCAGCAGCATGTTTTATTGCAACCAGAATCCCCGGTCACGTGGGGAAGGGATGGAACTGGGGATGAGGCAGGACGCATCTGGTCCCTGACAGGGCAGTCCCTGTCCAGGATGCAAAGCCAAAGGCCCGGAACAGCTCGCCCAGTGGCCGAGCCCTGCGGCCAGCTGTGCCCTGTCTCTTCCCCTGCCCCCAGTCAGGGCATCCAACGGGGCTGAGGCAGAAGGGAGGTGAAAATGGGGGTCGGTTTCAGCAAAGCCTTCACCCAGGGACCTGAGGGAAGAAGGAGTATTGTGGTGGGGTCCAGGTGCCCCAAGACGCTCAGGGCGCCCTGGGCTGACTTCAGGACGTGTCCATGTGGTTACTAGAGGAAAACGATGGGGCCTGCCCTGCCCACGGGGAGAGGGAGGGAGAGGGGAAACACGGCTCAGAAGGAGAATCACTGGCCAGCGACCACACAGGTGGGATCTTGGGACCCTGACTCCACCGCCAGGGCCGTGTCCATACCCCACCTCCTGGCTCAGCCCCACCTGGGCCCCCAGCCTAGTCAGCCTTGGATCCTATGTGGGGATCTGCATACTATCCAGGTCCTGATCCATGATCTGCAGGACATCGTCCAGGATGGAAGGCCCCAGGTCCACGTGCAGGGACAGTAGGGAGCTGGCATGGGACAGGAAGGGCTCCTCAGCCCCTGACTCCGGAGTCAACCCACTGTGGGGGGAGCCAGTCTCTGGAATCCTCCAGATGTCCACACTCCCTCCCTCCTGTGGGGAAGGCTGAGGGGTCTCCAGGTGCAGGCGAGGGGGCTTGGGTGGAGCCTGGGCTGTGGGCAGGGTGAGAGCCTGGGGTCCACCAATAACCGGGAGGGAGATGGCGTTCTTAAGCAGAGGTGATGGGCCGTCCGGGAGCTCCCGCCCACACACAGTTGCGGTGCGGGTAAACTGGAAGGGGAGGTCGAAGGTGCCATCCTCCTCAGGCCCCTCCACCACAGTCCCTGGCAGGAGGTGGAACTTGCCCTGCAGGAAGGAGATGTCACCAAACATGTCGCTGCCGCCACCACTGCCAATATGAATGGTGTGGCGGAAGTCCCCCAGCGGCGGGCTGATCATGTCCGAGGACAGCAGGTCCCGAAGCTTCTCCTTCTTGCCCTTGCGACTGCCACGCTTCAGATAGATGGGCACCTTGGTGGACATGGTGACCTCACCACCAGGCCTGGCTGTGAGGCTACAGGCTGCCTGCGGAGACCACGCCTCCTCTCAAACTCTCAGCCAGAGGAAACACCCGTTCCAAGGGGTGGTTTGCTGGTGCCCAAAGCTCACCAAAGGGCTCCTGGCTACAGGGTGGGGCACGACCAAAGTTGGCCCAAGGAATTAAAAAAGATTAGAGATCAATGAAGTCAGAGGGCTGAGATAACAAAAATCACGTTCTCCCCAAAGGACGACAAACTCTTCTGAAGAATTGAAGCCAGAAAGGTAGGAGCTGTGTGGACAGCAGTGCACTTTGGTCTTGTCACCGAGGGTTACTTGTCCCTGGTCCAGGGCTGAGGAGCTGAAACACAAAGGGTGCACACCTGTCAGAGATAGCAGGACCAAAGTCAGACGCAAACATCTTTTTTATTTTTAAGATGGAGTCTCACTCTGTTGCCCAAGCTGGAGTGCAGTGGCGCAATCTCAGCTCAGTGCAGCCTCTGCCTCCTGGGTTCAAGCAATTCTTCTGCCTCAGCCTCCTGAGTAGCTGGGACTACAGGCATGTGTCACCACGCCTGGCTAGTTTTTGCATTTTTTTTTTTAGTAGAGATGGGGTTTCACCATGTTGGCCAGGCTGGTCTTGAACTCCTAACCTCAAATGATCTGCCCGTCTCGGCCTCCCAAAGTGCTGGGATCACAGGTGTGAGCCACTGTTCCTGGCCAGAAACATCTGTCTTGTTTCTGGGCCTCTTGTGGTAGCCATGGGAGCCTGAGGGGGTGGGGCACTCCCCTTGCAGGGAGTTGTGCTGGGAGAAGCATGTCTTTTTTTTTTTTTTTTTTTTTGAGACTGAGTCTGGCTCTGTCGCCCAGGCTGGAGTGCAGTGGCCGGATCTCAGCTCACTGCAAGCTCCGCCTCCTGGGTTTACGCCATTCTCCTGCCTCAGCCTCCCGAGTAGCTGGGACCACAGGCGCCCGCCACTTCGCCCAGCTAGTTTTTTTTTTTGTATTTTTTAGTAGAGATGGGGTTTCACCGTGTTAGCCAGGATGGTCTCGATCTCCTGACCTCGTGATCCGCCCGTCTCGGCCTCCCAAAGTGCTGGGATTACAGGCTTGAGCCACCGCGCCCGGCCAGCATGTCTTCACTCTAAGACCCACTGCATCTTAGAGACTCACCACCAGGGCCAAGCCCCTCCCCTTACAGGTGGGAAACTGAGGTGGAACCTGAATGACAGGTCCAAAGTCATACAGAAAGTCTTACTCTAGTCTCTTGCCCTGGGTCCCCGGCAAGGTAGATCTCATCACCCTTATCCAGGTACTCATGCCATACCCCCCACCTCCACTGCATATCACGTGTGCCCCACAATGTAAGTGCCAGATTGTGGGGTGCCTCACAAATGGCCTTGGCTCCCTACTTGACCAAGGACAGAGAGCTTTGTGACCACTGTCTCTCCTGCCCAGGCCTGGCAGGGGCCTGGAGCACAGCAGGCGTTTGGCCAAGGGTGTTGGGTGGCTGGCACTTCCCATTTGACCCAATTGTATCCCACCTGGAGGCGGGGTCGCGTTTTCTCCTCTCCCTATTAGGAGCTCCTTATGGGCAGGGGCTGAGTCTAGGATAGTTTCTGGCCCTCCTCCCTACCCTGGCACCTAAAGAGAAGGTGGAGTGGGGAGTACGTATATTTTTTAGGTGAGGGGGGCTCTGCTCTGTACCTGGCATTCTTCTGTGCTCTTTGCAGACACATCTCAATTAATCAACACAACCACCCTATTATCAACCCCATTTAAAAATCAGAGGTGGCCGGGCGCAGTGGCTCAAGCCTGTAATCCCAGCACTTTGGGAGGCCGAGATGGGCGGATCACGAGGTCAGGAGATCGAGACCATCCTGGCTGACACAGTGAAACCCCGTCTCTACTAAAAAATACAAAAAAAATTAGCCGGGCGAGGTGGCGGGCGCCTGTAGTCCCAGCTACTCGGGAGGCTGAGGCAGGAGAATGGCGTGAACCCGGGAGGCGGAGCTTGCAGTGAGCTGAGATCTGGTCACTGCACTCCAGCCTGGGCGGCAGAGCCAGACTCCGTCTCAAAAAAAAAAAAAAAAAAAAAATCAGAGGTGTTGGGGCTGGGCATGGTGGCTTATGCCTGTAATCCCAGCACTTTGGGAGGCCAAGGCGGGCAGATCACGAGGTCAGGAGATCGAGACCATCCTGGCTAACATGGTGAAATCCTGTCTCCACTAAAAATACAAAAAATTAGCTGGGTGTGGTGGCGCACGCCTGTGGTCCCAGCTACTTGGGAGGTTGAGACAGGAGAATCACTTGAACCCAGGAGGCAGAGGTTGCAGTGAGCTGAGATCACACCACTGCACTCCAGCCTGGGCTACAGAGCAAGACTCCGTCAAAAAAAAATAAAAAAGAAATAAAAAGAAAAATCAGGGGTGTCAAAATTCAAAATTGAACCTGAGGTGAACCTAGAGGTGAAAAATTTTGGAGGATTCCCACAGGGCATTGCAGAGAGAGAGAAGCAAAATGCAAAAACATGATATAGACGATCCGTTTATTGAAAGAATTGACTGCCTGCCTCCCCGCTCTGATACATATGCATGTTATGTACCTGCATGTGTACAGGTCTGTGTAGAATTCTATCCTATATATATATATATATAAAGAGGCTGGGTGCGGTGGCTCATATCTGTAGTACCAGCACTTTGGGAGGCCGAGGCGGGCAGATCATCTGAGATCAGGAGTTCGAGACCAGCCTGGCCAACATAGGGAGACCTCGTGTCTACTAAAAATATGAAAATTAGCCAGGTGTGGTGGCACACGTCTGTAATCCCAGCTACTCAGGAGGCTGAGGCAGAATAATTGGTTGAATCCAGGAGGCAGAGGTTGCAGTGCACCAAGATCACGCCACTGCACTCCAGCCTGGGTGACAGTGAGACTCTGCCTCAAAACAAACAACAACAACAACAACAAAAAAAACAGAGAAGGCCGGGCGCGGTGGCTCAAGCCTGTAATCCCAGCACTCTGGGAGGCCGAGGCGGGCGGATCACGAGGTCAGGAGATCGAGACCATCCTGGCTAACACGGTGAAACCCCGTCTCTACTAAAAAAATACAAAAAACTAGCCGGGCGAGGTGGCGGGCGCCTGTAGTCCCAGCTATTCGGGAGGCTGAGGCAGGAGAATGGCGTAAACCCGGGAGGCGGAGCTTGCAGTGAGCTGAGATCCGGCCACTGCACTCCAGCCCGGGCGACAGAGAAAAATCTAGAAGGCCAGCCCTAGGTTGCCATATGGGCTACCTTGACTAGGGTACACAGCAGGGATGGGGTGTGGGGTCACTGATATGGGAGGAAAGGAGTCATCAATAAAAATAACCTGTAATATTTTGGTTCCATGACTATGACATGATCAATGTGTGTAATATATATAAATATGAAAAGATGGTCATCCAGATGTTAACAATGGTTATCTCAAAGTGGTAGAATTTCAGGTTGACGTTTCCTTTCTTGTTCAGACCTCTATGAATTCAAATTCTTACTAATAAGCAATGTATTATTTATATGCACATAATATTTATGTAGTCAGAAAAAAATTAAGCTATTTTTAATGTAGAAAAATAAATAGCTATGAAGGGGTGTCATACTGATTTAACAGAAAAAAGAAATGAAGCCAGCAGTCCCTCTGCTTGAGGGTGGGGGATGCATGTGGGACCTCATTGGTCCGGTACACACAAGCCCAGATGTAGACTCAGCATAAAAGGCAAAGAGAGAAACTTGTCCAAGGTCACCCAGTGAGTAAGGGCAGGGTGGGAATTCAAGCCAGATGTGCCCACTCTCCTGTACACCCCACCCCCAGCCCCAGCCAGGGCTCACCAAAGGTGGCTCTTGCAGTTCTTTGCCTCAGTTTTCATTCTGGACAGGGTGAGGGTGGGGGTGAGGGGGTTGGGAGGAGGGAGCAGGAAGGAGGAAGGAGGATGCAGGAGAAGCAGAGTCCAACTGCACCCCCACCACCAGCTGAGGCCCTTGCTCAGGAAACCCCACCCCAGGACCGGACACCCGGGTCAGTCATACTGAGCCACAGAGGCCGGACATCTTGCCCCTCCCAGAGCACCTGGAGCTTAACAGGAAACAAACGAATAACTTTCCCATGGTAGAAATCCAGCTCAGCTTGCAAGGAGCTGGGGGGAGGGTGGGGACGCATGAGCACCCCGAGGTCTTGGAATCCCGTCACGCATTCATCCTGTGTCAACCATGCCAGGCCTGGGGGCCATGCTGACAAACATGCAACTTGTCGCTCATTAGGAGAGAAGTCCTGGTGGGGCTGACTGGTGGGATGTGCCCAGAGCCTGGGCCAGGTCCTCCCCACACCCCCAACCCCATCACACAGCAGTGCCAAGACAGCCTGAGTGTTTCCACAACAAATTGGGCGTCCCTGACAGCTGTCTCACTCACAGCCAGATGTACACACCCAATTCCAGATGTGGGGAGAATTAAGGGTGAGGCCAGCATCAGCGACCCAGGGGAGAGCTGGGAATTACAACCCTCACACCGGAAGAATTCAGATTTGGCAACCGCAAGACCCTAGGATCCAGCCTGTCACGCACAGTTTCCCATTTTAATACTTCTAGCCACAGCATGGTGGGGTCATTACCGCCCTTTACAGAAGTCAAAGCTGAACCTCAGAGATGTTAAGTAACATTGGCGAGGTCATCCAGTTAGGAAGTGGAAGAGTGGGTACCCAGCCTGGTCCGTGTGGCTTCCATGCAGTGGGCCACGCCTACCTCCATAATATGGTTGGGGAGCGGGAGAGAAACAGCTAGGCTGGGAACAGTGGGTCCCCAGACCTCCTCCATCTACATTCTGACCTTTGGCTGCCCCCATCTGCCCAACTTTCATGTGTCTAGAGATATGAGAATGAGCTCTCCATCAGGACAGGGCTATGCGGGCTGGGAGGGGAGCTCCCTGCAGCAGTAGGGGAGCAGATAGGAGCATCCTACCTCTCTGTGATTGCCCTGGACAGGAGCCCTGGACCTCCCAACGAGAAAATGACTTCCGGCAGGCAGGGATCCTCCAATCATGAGGAATATTAGGCCACCTCACACCCCCCTCCCCCCCAAATCAGGAGACTGTCCTTAAATCTGGCTCCACCTGGGACTTCCTCTGTAACCTTCAGGAAGATGCCTCTCCTCTCTGGGTCTCACCTTTCCCATCTATAAAATGGGCTGACAATGAAGCCACCACTAGAGGGCTACTGGAGATCCCACTGCAATATTGCAAATGAGAGCACCAGTGTACAACAGCGGGGTTCAGCGGGTTACTGTAGGTTACTGTAGGTTCTATCATTCATTCAGCAAATATCTACAAGACCTTCCTTCCTCAAGCACTTCGGTTCTCCGGGGCCAGTGCTTTGAACAATATCAAAAACGAACGGCTGCTGGCCCCAGGCATCCACCTCCTCCCGCCCTCCTAGACCTCGCGGATGCAGAGTCCCTCTAGCCGGCCGCGGGGTCTCCGGGGTCCCCGTGCCTCTGGAGAGGCGCTCGGCTCCGCGGCCGCCAGGTGGCGCGCGTGCTCCCTTGAGCGCCCCGTGTCCCGGAGGATTCCGAGAGCGCACCGGGGTCTCCAACGCCCCTCCCCCCGGGCTCCAGGCAGGAGCTCCCCAAGGAGCTGCGCGTTCAAGTACCAGACGGGGATTGCCTGCGAGATCTTTTTGCTTCGGGGTTTCTGGTCCCACAATCGGAGAAAAAGGAGGCGATTGGGGACCCTGCCCTAGTCTCTAAGCTCTGGGAGGAACCGCCCCCGTGCTTTCCGGCCTGGGCGATGTCCTAGTGTCCGCTTGGCGCAGGGCCAGAGCTCGGGCGTGCGGGCCCCCGCTCCTCCCACGGGTCCGGCTCCTTAGCTCCGGCTCGGGTTCCGGCGCCGACCCCTCCCCGTTCCTACCCGGGCGCAGCCCAGCCCAGCACGGATCCGTTTCAGGACACTCGCGGCCGCAGCTAAAGATAGGAGGACACCTCACCATCGGCTAAAAATATGGCCCCCAGCCCCGGTGGGGACGCTGGGCGGCGGGGCACCCCTGGGTCTCGGGAGGGGGGCGGGGGCCCGGGTACAGAATGGAGGGCAGAACGGGGAATTCGGGGTCGGGATGCGCGGCGCCCCACGGACCGTGGCGGGCACGGGCGAGGCTGCGGGCACCCACATGCAGGCGGGAAACCCATGGAGCCCTAGGCGCCCTCGAAAGGACCTGAGCGAGGTGAGAGGCAGGGCCAGGGCGCGAGCTGGGGCGGGGCGCCACAGAGATGGGCCTCTCGGGGGCGGGGGGGCCGCGGAGTTGCGAAAATCCCAGCCTGAACTCACCGTGAGGCAAGCAGACGGCGGACTGGCGGACAGCAAAGTCTCAGGAGCTGGACAGCGCGGCTGCGGAACCCGACGGGCGGTGAACTTACAGAGCCCACCGCGGACCCCGCAGCCCCGCCCCGGCCCGCGGAGCCAATGCCTGGGCCGCGCCAGCCAAGCCCCTCCCCATCCCCGCCCAGGCCCCGCCCCACTCCGGGCACCGCCCGGGGCTCCGGGTGTGGGAGGTGCAGCTCCCGGGTCCAGCGGTCGCGCGCGCCCTGGGGTCCTGTCCTGGTTCGGGCGGCTGAGGTCCGTATGGCGCAGGGTGGCCTCCCGGGACTCCGGCTGTGCCCATGGGAACTAAAACCCTCGGTTTTAGAAAGGCCGAGAGACAGGCTCCCGGAAGACCGAATTCTTCAGAAATCGCAGAGAGACCTTGGACAGGATCCTTCCCTGCAGGGCTGGATCGGGGAGGCGCTGGCACAAGTATATTCAGTGACTTCCTGGGAATGAATGAGGCCTTGGAAGCGCCTACGTTAGAATACTACAAACTTGGCCGGGCGCGGTGGTTCAAGCCTGTAATCCCAGCACTTTGGGAGGCCGAGACGGGCGGATCACGAGGTCAGGAGATCGAGACCATCCTGGCTAACCCGGTGAAACCCCGTCTCTACTAAAAAATACAAAAAACTAGCCGGGCGAGGTGGCGGGCGCCTGTAGTCCCAGCTACTCGGGAGGCTGAGGCAGGAGAATGGCGTAAACCCGGGAGGCGGAGCTTGCAGTGAGCTGAGATCTGGCCACTGCACTCCAGCCTGGGCGACAGAGCGAGACTACGTCTCAAAAAAAAAAAAAAAAAAAAAAAAGAATACTACAAACTTACAAGTGAGTTGATGAGTTTACCTTCCGCGAGAAAAGAGAATATGGGAAGGCAGAGGCCGCGTGGCCTGGACCCCCGTCTTTGCTGTCAGGCTTCCAGAGTGAAGGTGGGGCTCATACTCAGACTAGTTCCTGGTCCATTCGTTCATTAAGTCAGTCAGTCATTCTTACAGGGCCAGAAACTTATTTTTTTTGAGACGGAGTTTCGCTCTTGTTGCCCAGGCTGGAGTGCGATGGCGTGAGGCTCACCGCAACCTCTGTCTCCTGGGTTCAAGAGATTCTCCTGCCTCTGCTTCCTGAGTAGCTGGGATTACAGGCATGTGCCACCACACCCGGCTAATTTTTGTTTTCTTAGTAGAGATGGGGTTTCTATATGTTGTCCAGGCTGGTCTCGAACTCCTGACCTCAGGTGATCTGCCCACTTTGGCCTCCCGAAGTGCTGCGATTACAGGCCTGAGCCACCGCGCCCGGCCCAGAAACATGTTTTGAAGGGCAGGCACCCCACAGGGTGCTAGAGACAGACTGAAGGCAACTGCACTGCTCAGTGACTCAAGAGAAATTTATTGAGTAACTACCAAGTGCCCAGCGCTGTTTTTGTCCCTGGGGATTCAGCCTCTGGATTGGGACCTGCAGCCCAGAGAAGGGAAATGGGGAAATCCAAGTTCCCAGGTACATCATGATACCCTTCCAGGTGGGGAAGTGCTAAGAAGAGTGGGGTGGAGGAAGTGGTGGGTAGTGATGGGGTGGACAGACCTCACTTTCTTTTTTTTTTTTTTTTTTTTTTTTGAGACGGAGTCTCACGCTGTTGCCCAGGCTGGAGTGCAGTGGCACGATCTCGGCTCACTGCAAGCTCCGCCTCCCGGGTTCCCGCCATTCTCCTGCCTCAGCCTCCTGAGTAGCTGGGACTACAGGCGCCCGCCACCGCGCCCGGCTAATTTTTTGTATTTTTAGTAGAGACGGGGTTTCACTGTAGTCTCGATCTCCTGACCTTGTGATCCGCCCGCCTCGGCCTCCCAAAGTGCTGGGATTACAGGCTTGAGCCACCGCGCCCGGCCCAGACCTCACTTTCTAGAGGATGACAGCTATGCCAGCTCAGTGTGACCAGAATGGTTGGCTTCTATGCTGTCACTGTGGGAAGGGCTTTTAGGGAGGCAGGGCCAGGAAGACCTCAGGGAGGAAGGCAGGATGCTGGTGGTGGGGGAAGATGCCAGACAAGCTGGGAGGTCTGGATGGGAAGAAGGGGATCGTGGTAGGCAAAATAACAGCCCCCCTAAATATGTTCACATCTGGCCAGGTGCTGTGGCTCATGCCTATAATCCCAGCACTTTGGAAGGCTAAGGTGGTAGGATCGCTTGAGTCCAGGAGTTTGACACCAGCCTGGGCAACATAGTGAGACCCTGTTTCTACAAAAAATAAAGTAGCTGGACATAGTGGCTCAAGCCTGTAGTCCCAGGTACTCTGGAGGCTTAGGTGGGAGAATTGCTTGAACCTGGAGGTTAAGGCTGCAGTGAGCTGTGATCATGCCACTGCACTCGAGCCTGGGCAATAGAGCAAAACCCCATCTCAAAAAAAAAAAAAGCCCGCATCTGAACCTGTGGAATCTGTGAATATGTTTTGTTACATGGGAAATGGAAATGAAAATTGCCAATGAGGGCCGGGCGCAGTGGCTCACACTTGTAATCCCAGCACTTTGGGAGGCCGAGGTGGGCAGATCATGAGGTCAGGAGATCGAGACCATCCTGGCTAATATGGTGAAACCCTATCTCTGCTAAAAATACAAAAAATTAGCTGGGTGTGGTGGCGGGCGCCTGTAGTCCCAGCTACCCAGCAGGCTGAGGCAGGAGAATGGCGTGAACCCGGAAGGCGGAGCTTGTAGTGAGCCCAGATCGATCCACTGCACTCCAGCCTGGGCGACAGAGCGAGACTCCGTCTCAAAAAAAAAAAAAAAAAAAAGAAAATTACCAATGAAATTATGGTTGCAAATCAGTTGACTTTAAAACAGAGAGCCTGGCCGGGCGCGGTGGCTCAAGCCTGTAATCCCAGCACTTTGGGAGGCCGAGACGGGTGGATCACGAGGTCAGAAGATCGAGACCATCCTGGCCAACACGGTGAAACCCCGTCTCTACTAAAAAATACAAAAAACTAGCCGGGCGAGATGGCGGGCGCCTGTAGTCCCAGTTACTTGGGAGGCTGAGGCAGGAGAATGGCGTAAACCCGGGAGGCGGAGCTTGCAGTGAGCTGAGATCCGGCCACTGCACTCCAGCCTGAGCGACAGAGCGAGACTCCGTCTCAAAAAAAAAAAAAATAAATAAATAAAAATTAAAAAATAAAACAGAGAGCTTATGCTGAGGTATCTGGGTGGGCCAGTGTCATAACAAGGGTTTTTAAAAGTAGAAGCAGGAGACAGAGAAAGAGATGTGATGGGCCGGGCGCGGTGGCTCATGCCTGTAATCCCAGCACTTTGGGAGGCCGAGATAGGCGGATCAAGAGGTGAGGATATCGAGACCATCCTGGCTAACACGGTGAAACCCCATCTCTACTAAAAATACAAAAAATTAGCCGGGTATGGTGACACGTGCCTGTAGTCCCAGCTACTTGGGGGGACTGAGACAGGATAATCGCTTGAACCTGGGAGACGCAGGTTGCAGTGAGCCGAGATCGCACCATTGCACTCTAGCTGGGGTGACACAGCGAGACTCCGTCTCAAAAAAAAAAAAAAGAGATATGATGACCGAAGAGCCAGAGAAATGCTATGCTGCTGCCTTTGAAGATGGAGGCAGAGGCCCCAAACCAAGGAACTCCTTCAGAAGCTGGAAAAGACAAGGAAACAGATTCTACCCTATCTACCCTAGAGGCTCCAGAAGGAACACAGCCCTGCCCTCACCTCCTCACCTTGATCTTAGCTCAGTGAGACTCATGTTGGCCTTTTTTTTTTTTCGAGACAGAGTCTTGCTCTATCGCCCAGGGTGGAGTGCAGTGGCGCAACCTTGGCTCACTGCAACCTCCACCTCCTGGGGGGGTTCAAGCGATTCTCCTGCCTCAGCCTCCTGGATAACAGGAGCCCACCACCATGCCTGGCTAATTTTTGTATTTTTAGTAGAGAGAGGGTTTCACCATGTTGGCCAGGCTGGTCTCGAACTCCTGACCTCAAGTGATCTGCCCACCTCAGCCTCCCAAAGTGCTGGGATTACAGGCATTAGCCACTGCGCCCAGCCCCACATTGACCTTCTAACCTATAGAACTGTAAGATCACAAATTTCTGTCGTTTTAAGCCACCTAGTCTGATAATTTGTTGTAGCAGTGATAGAAAACGAATCCAGGGAAGTTCAGGTTTTAATCTTGAGCGTGCCCTCAACTCTGCAGGGAGTATTGATCAGGTGGATTCTGCCAGGAATGGCCTGGCAGGTTGGAGGAAAACAAGCCTGGACCATTGAGTAAGTGGGGATGATGGCCCTGGGCCAAGCTGTGGTGGGGGTGGGTAAAGGGTGTGCCTCTCCCCATTCTTGCCATCAGGCTTTGCCAGGCGCCAGTCCACCCAGGCCGCCCTGTGCCCTTTACCCATTGCTTCTTGTTCCTGAATTCCTTACATCCTCCTGGGGGTGCCTAGTGATGTGGCCAGAGCCTGAATCACGATCCCCATTTTACAGATGGAAACTAAAGCTCAGGGCACTGACAGTGATTTGCTGAGCCTAGAAGTGGCAAGGCATGTGGGCTCTGGCCCCTCCTTCTCCTCTCAGGCTTCTAACCTCACAATCATCATTCCTGCCCATCCCCAGGACGCAGCTCTCAGAGAGGGGCAGCTCAGTGCCTTGAGTCCTGGCCTCTGAGCCATCAGTCAGGTTCTGAGCTGTCTCTGCTGTTGCTTTGCTCTGTGACCACAGGCAAAGGACTTTCCCTTTCGGAGCCTCCTTGTCTGTAATATGGGGTGGTAGCATCAGCTCAGGCAAGTCCCAAACCAGATAAGGGATGGACGTGCACGTATTTTGTTTGTGGGAATACGCAGCCCCTCAAGTGACATGGTTTCACGGAAACATGAGAACAAGAGCTTTGGGGCCTGGCCAGCTGGCTGTGCTGCTTGATTGGAATGGCTGTAATGTTGAAGCCACCTGAGCCTGCGGGAATGAGGCTGAGGCCAAGCCCCCATCCCCTGCCCATCTGCTGAGAGTCCTCCATTGATTGGGGAGGGTAGGGGTCAGGGAAGGGTCAGATG